CTGAAACGACCGGGGCCTGTAAGCCCTATTTTCTAGGCTTTTAGGCTGAAAGTGCGGGACGGGCCCTGCAGGGCCCGTGTGGCTACGCAGTATGCCACACTGAGTCAGGCCCCACATTGTGGTTGTATGAGAAGGAGAGACATATCGCACTGTTGGTTCTTGAACTCGAGATACTCTTATAATGTGTTGGAGATAATATAAGCTGCGCATCTTGGTTCACTTTTCATCTCTTCTTTGTGCTGTGTGATAATTCATAATCTGTGTAATTGGTAACGTGGCATGCATTGCGATACACTCTGGCAAGTTGTGGACAGTCAGGTCCTTTGCAACACTCTCTCTCTCTCTTTTTTGCTTTGAACAAACGATGGCATGTTGTGACTCTCACCTCTTTCCTCTCTCTTGCTGAGATGCGCAGTACTGATAGGGCATATGAAAAATGTATCACCAACGGTCCAATGGCCTGGGCATCTGCAGAAGTTTCACAGTTCCTGGTAGGGGCACATGCAAAAGATGCAGGGTCCAATCTACGAGTGGGGCATTCCGCCACACCCCTGTGTTTCTGAATTATCTGACAACATACCCCAACTTTACGGGGCATTGCAACAATTTTCCCTAAACCAAAACAATCCAAGCTGAAAAGGAAAAAACAAGAACTGGTGGAGGTACTGGTTTAAGGTCTTGACTGTAACACTTGAAAGTGGGGGTCCAGGTTAACCAGATGTGCGGCAAAGGAACGTAATGTACGACCGAGAGCTTGCTCTGTGCCTGTGTCACAAAAGAAAACTAACAGAGCAACATTTCACATTTGGCTCAGGAAATAGAGGTTATCGTCTCGCATTGGAAAGAAAAATCCACATACTTTTCTGGGAACAGGGTGTATGGTCTCTCCTTTAGCCAAGCCTCCTTATCTCGAACAGGTCGCCGTGGCTTCAAGGGTTCAACAACATCGCTTGCCCTCCCCAGTTTCGAAGGTGATTGTGGGTGCTGCAAAGACAAAGATCACATACAAAGTCTTCCGTCTCAGAACAAACAGGGCTCCACCGGACTTAGTGGACTATGTATGCAGTGGACTAGCAAAACTGGGCACAACGTTTCAGACTTGAAATCGGCTCACCAAGATGAGAGATCAGGCGTTAAAAATTTTGTGAGAAGTTATGAAGACGATGTTTGATGCTACCGGCCCCACTGTTTTTTACATGTGTGTTTTTTTAAAAGACCCCAGATTCTCTCTCTCTCTCATTCCCTTCACAAATCATCACAAGCCATCCCATAACGAAAAAGTTTACATAGGCAATGTAATAGAAAATGCAAGGTTGGCCATGTTGGTGTGGTTCAGCGCCAATTGCCCACAGTCCCATCTGCTGCCAAAGCGGCACACTTTCACATATAGATATGTATACATATATATTTCGAACCATAAGGGGATGGAAGGCAGAAGGCAACTAACCTAAGACGGAAGACTACTCCAGCAAGAAGGCACCGACCCGAAAAAACTTGGAGAGCCTTCCGCATCGGCCCACAAAACCAAAAACTCATTTACCAAAAACAAACAAACATAACAGCATTCTGAAAGGCCTTCCACGATTCAGACCCCAAATTCGGACTTCAGGGTCAGATGCCCAGGCCGAGTTCGTCAAACTCAGAAAAGTCACAATCGGGTACCTCAGCAGTCTGCTCCAAAAGGCACCCAGCAAACAGTCACGTTTCAGGGACAAGAGTCACGTCTCATAATAAAAAACATTCAGAAGAGTCACATCCCACGAGTGAAAAGGCAGATTCACCAAGCAAGAGTCATGTCTCAGAGGCAGAAGTCACGTTCCTAATGAAAAGTCATATTGAAGAGTCACATCCCTCGAGTAAAGGCAGTATCACAGGCAAAAGTCGTGACCCACAGGCAGGAGTCACTATCCACAGTCAAAAGCCATATTCACAAGTGAAAAGTCATGACTCAAAGGCCCAAGGAGCAGCAGTCCAATGGAAAGTCGGGACTTCGTCTATTGGTAACGAGACATTTCATCAAATATCACTTTCAGGATTACTGTAGACATTGTCCAGATCTGAGTTTACTTGTGTACTTCGACTTCTGACGAGTATCTTCCAGTCTGGGTTCATTACACTATTCTTCTCTCAATTTCACCTTTCACTACCTACCTACCGCTACTCCAAAGCCTATACAGGGGACCCCCGCAAGCGTACCTACCTCGCACTCCCTCCTCCTTATCTTCGAAAGTCTGCTGAGATGCTTCTTTGCAGGTGCTTTCCCCTTCAGCTTTCGTTCATATTCTGCAACGACCTGAGGTGCTGTCTTGATCAGCTCCTCTTTTGTGAACCAACGGTCTTCCTTTGAATTCGTGTGATGCCTGAATCTGACCCGGTACCGCTTGTAGGTTTCGGTGGTCTTCCTCTGCCAACTGGCTTAGGAAAAGCCAGATCTTGATGATCCAAAATGTCGTCGAACGTCCACATGACCGTCCATGGTTGGGGGCAGCATTGACCTCCTCGATGGGAATCTGTCAATCTCAGCGAAAGGTGCAAGCTTGGAAGCATGGAAAGCTGGGTAAGTGCGCAGGCCAATGCCATATTGGCTTGCGTTAGTGGTAAAAATGAATTGCTTCTCAGGATTAGGGAGCATGAGGATTTCATGATGCATGAGAGTATACTTCACTCGCTTGAAGGCTCTCTCGCGGTCATCAGTCCACTCCCATGGGGTGTCAAGGCGTGTTAGGTCCGTCAAGGGGGGCACCCACCGTACTATAATTCTTTACGAAATTGCAGTAGTAGCCCGTCATCCCCAAGAAGGACGTGACCTCCACATACTGAGGTCGTTCCCAATCCCGAATGCTAGCCACCTTCGCATCTTCCAACCTAACACCATCTGCGGATATCTCATGACCCAAGTATAAGATTTTGGTGCGACCGAACTCGTGTTTCTCTAAGTTGATCTTATACTCGTGTTGTTGCAGAAGTCCAAGCACAAGGTGAACATGTTGCGTGTGCTCCTCAACAATCTTACTAAAGATAAGAATATTGTCGAGGTACATGACAACAGACTTATCTAAGTAGTCATGGAATATCCTCTTCATGGCGTGCTGGAATGTACTCGGCGCATTGCAAACGCATCACCACAAATTCTTACAGACTGTACGTGGTGTGAAAAGTGGTTTTGTGCTGATTCTCAGGTCTGATCACAATCTAATGGTAGCTAGACTTTAAATCTATCTTAGTAAAGTATCTACATCCCTGGACATATCCAATAGGTAGTCAATGCAGGGTAGAGGCTCCGTGCTTTTAACAGTGATGGCATTGAGAGCTCTATAATCAATGCACATCCTTAGTGATCCCCCTTTCTTCGGAACGAATAGGACGGGTGCACCGTTGGGAGATGTACTGGGCCATATCCAACCCTTCTCCGTGAGCTCTTTGAGTTGCCGCTGAAGTTCATCCAATAGATCCTCCCCTTTGGCGTTTTACTACCTGGGATGATTTCTATGGCATGGATGACTTCCCTCTCTACGACACCCGAAGGCTCCTCAAACAGAATAGGTTACTTAGCGACGACAACTTCGATCTCTGGGGGTGATTTAATTGTCTTCCCCTTCTAAGAGAAGAAAACCAGATACACTCCCTCCTCTTGGTTCTTTGTATAATAGCTGGAAAATGCGGATGCACACATGCAATTGTAGGAGTCAACTAACCTGCGGGCCTTGTACTTAGCCAGTCCAAGGGTTCTCCCACCCGACAATACATGCATAAGCATCTTTCGGTCCCAGTCAAACTAGGGTTTGACAACCTCGACGTAGTACATACCCAACAACATGTCGAATGGCAAGTCGTTGCTAACTAGGAATGAAATCCTATGATTAAGGTCCCCTCCTCCATAGGAGAAGGTGCATACCATGTCCTTAACGTAGTCGTGGTCAACCATGCGCTCCTTGTTGGCGAAGGTAGAAGCTACAAATCTACTTAGCCTCTGCACCCACTCCTCTAAGCACAACCTCTCAACATACTCGTGACTTATGAAGTTTTGCATGGAACCTTCCCCTAACTCTTTTGTTGGCCGCCCTTGCGTGGACCAGTGGCCTTACCTTTGGTTGCGCAGTGAGGTCTCCTCCCTCTACACTCTCCTCACCACCTCACTCTGTCTCTTCCACAATATCATAGATATTATCAATCTCCTATTGATTCCCATCGGAATCAACCATCATCAATCAAAATCAACTACCTTTCTTTTTCCAATCTTGTGGGGCCTTCTTCTTCCTATTGTCTACAGCAACTTGCTGCGCCCCTCCTAGCTTTGCCTCTAAGTCTAGGGCCTTCTTGCTAAAGAGGCCAGGTCGTGAAATTTGATGCTAGCCTCGCTGACCAACATGTTCTTGATGTCAGTAGAAAGACATCTCAGATAAATGGTCAGCACGACCTGTGGATCATAGCGCACTCTCGGACCACGATGAGTTTCTCCACGACGTTGGTGAGCTCATGGGCTGTATTGTATTTCTTCGTATCAAGTCTTGCCAATGCATCCGTGGCTTGCTGAGCCTGCTGTGGGTTGTGCCATCGCTCCTCTACCAACTCCAAAAACGAGTCTATTGTCTGGGTCTTCGCCCAGTCATCCATCCTCTGACCGTAGCCTCGGGATGCAACTAAGCCATTCAACCATCTTGCTGCCGAACCTTTGAGGTATGAGGCAGCTGTGATCACTCCCTGGTCAAGCAGTGTCCGTTTGGCCCTCACCCACATTGGAACAGTCAACCAAGTGTTGAGGTTCTTGTCCTTCTTGTCCCCAGAGAAGGTCTCAAAAGGATTCAACAGGGTCTCTGGGTACCACTGTTGCTGAGGTCATGTTGGAACCTGTTGCTGCACAGGTTGCTGGACAGGTTGCTACTCTGCAGCTGCAGTAGCTGGACCTGAGGACGAAGAAGCACCAGTAGGCAGACTTGCTATTGACGTACCACCTGGTATAATACCAAACTGAGGGACAAAGGTGCCTGACATCACCGACAACATAGACGGCGATGGGGAGACAACCTGCGCCCTGACACTAGGCCTGCTTGTTGTGGATGGGCCCAGTCTGCCCATCACCTGCATGGCACTAAGTATCTGGTCAAGGGCTGACTGGATATCATCCAGTTTGCTGTCCATGTAGTCGTACATGCTCAGCATACCTGCATGTTACCAATGTTATCAAAGGTGGAGTTATATAACCCTTCTAGTGCTGCCTTATCCTGCGCCCTAATCTCTAGTCTAGCTTGCCTAAGCTTTGCTTTGTTTTCTCTTTCAGTAGCATTCTTGAGTTCATTCTGTAGCTGAAGTCGGAGGTTCTCTACTTCATGGGCCTTTATAGCCTCCCTATTGAGTCAAGGGGGCTGGTTGTACTGCGAACCGGCCATCTGGCTGTAGGATGTACCTGTACTCATCCCTCTGGACATAGCCTGCGAGACTGCGTGGCCGATGTCTGTTGACCCTGAGAGGCCGCAACAGAAGCAGCCATGGCGCCAAGAGTAGTTGTTGCTGCTGCTGACGCCTGCTCTGCTGGTGCTGTTGCCTCCTTAGCCCTCTGCAAACGCTGTGCAAGGAACATGAATATGGACGAAGCATAGAAATCCAAATTGCAAAATCACACTGAAGTCCAAGTAGTCAAAGCCAGAGCAGATAGCACAATGGAACCGAGTAACCATCCATTTGAGAATGATACAGAAGAATCGTGAGTCAATTTCCAAGCCCAACAGGGCAACACCAACAGCATAACCCAGTGTAGCTCTCTCTTGTGAATGGCGCCAGGCGCCCTATCTACTTTACAGCCTAAGCCTACAGCTACAGCTACAGCAATGAAAGCAACCAGGCAACTTGACTACCAGCAAGTGATGATGTCAACACCAATGCCGACCTCCACCTCCACCAGGTACGTGTCCTCTTCACCCACACTCTCCCTTGTTACCCACACAGCGCCCTTCACCTCCGAAGAACCACCTTCGCCCTCACCTCTCCTGCGCCCTATGCAGCCCGGCTATGGCCGCCAACGCACAGTGCACAGGCAGCGCCCTACCGCCTAGCGCCTGCCTGCCTTGCACCTCATCCCAGCGCAGCGCAGCAGCGCAACAGCTCACATTCGCGCAGCGTGCCGACATTGCCCGCAATGGCCAAGATCCCTGCCCACTCGCCTTGCTTGCCTATATGCCAGTGCTGCGTGTGGGCGGCCTCCCTTCAGCCTGCCACTCGGCCCCAGTGCCTGAACCAAGGCCAGATGCAGTTGGGGCCCGAGTGATGCAGTTGCGCCTCTTTCGTCAAGGCCTGCGGCCAGATTCAGATAGTGGGCCGATTTCCCTTTGCCATTTTCGGCCTCTATACCCAGCATGCATTGTCGGCCTCACGTTCAAGTGCCCAGGGCCTAACTAACTCAGAGGCCCTGGGATCTCCACATTTGCAGAGATTCGAGACTCGGTGCACTCCAACCAACTGGCGTGCTGCAACTGTATGGACCCCACTTCGTGAAATGTTTGCACAGAGGGCTCTTGTTGATTTGCTGGCCCGCCTTCACTTAGGACGGGCACTAGGCTTGCTGGGGCCTTAGCCCAGAACATGTACATCATGGCAACGGACAAGCCGAGCAAATGAACAGAGTTGTACAACACTTGCTGAGGCATTACATCAAGCCCAACCAGGATGACTGGGATGAGCAGTTGCCTCTCATCGCCAGCCTGTACAACAATGCTGTCCACAGCAGTACCGGCGTTAGTCCTAATCAGCTACACTTGGGATGGAAGCCTAGATCAGCATTAGACTTCCTCCTACCTGAAAACCGACCCGCTGCAACTCCAGGCACACTTGAGTATGGTGTGCAGTATGAGAAGTTGTTGCAAGAAGCTGTCGAATGAAGAAAGCTCAGCAAGCAATGATTGCTTCTGAGAATCAACACCGTAGACAGTCCACATTTCAGGTAGGGGAACGTGTCTGGGTCAAGGCTAGTGAGTTAGGACAGGAATTCGGAATCTCTCGCAAACTAATGCCTCAGTACTTTGGTCCCTGGGAAGTCCTGGATATAGTGGGAGATGAGATGGATGGTCCCACACATGTCATTCGTGTCCCTGGACACCTACGCACTCACCCAGTCTTTCATGCCTCAAAGCTTGCATCTTTCGCTGAGACAGATCAATTCCCTTCTAGGAGATCGATGCTGCCCCCAACCATGGATGGTCAAGTGGACATTGATGACATTGTGGATCACAGGGATATGCCTGTTCCAAAGCCGTTGGGTCGTGGAAGACCTCCTAAGCCCAAGAGAGAGTATCGCGTCAGATTCAAGCATCATACGGATCCAAAAGAAGATCGGTGGTTTACCAGAGAGGAACTGATTGAGACAGCTCCTCAAGTGGTGGTAGAATATGAGAGACTGCTAAAAGGGAAGGCACTTGCGAAGTAAGCATCTCAGCGGACTTTCGAAGCTAAGGGGGATGGAATGTGAGGATTGAGCAACGATTGACTTTGGTAAACCAAAGTCACGCACCCAGTTGTCTTTGAACAACTTGATGACATAGTCAGTTCTTACGGTCTCTGGCATAGCCACTAGTCTAGCGTACTTGGTGAATCGGTCGATGATGACGAAGATGTGCCTCTTGCCACTCTTACTAGTCACCAGGGTGTCCATGAAATCCATGGAAACACTCTGTCCTGGACCAGTAGGAATAGGCAAAGGCTTCAACAACCCAAGCGGTGCTTGAGTTCGCGGCTTGTCCCGCTGACAGACCTGACAGGTCTCTACGTACTTCTTTGCGTCATCTAACATTCCTGGCCACCAAAATCGTTGTACTAGGTTACCACTCGTCTTCTTGTAGCCAAAGTGCCCAGTTGCGTCATGACATTCGCCTAAAAACAAACTGCGCAATCGCTCACTAGATGGAACTACTAATCTTTTTATTCCGGCCTTATCAAGGTAGAGTAACCCGTCCACCATCACAAACTCACTTTCCGTGGCCTTGTCTTTTGCCTGAAGTTTGCGCATGATGTCCATCGTGACAGGGTCTTCCTGATAGGCTCCCACCAATGATTGAGTTACTTCTTCATATATGCCAAAGTCAGAAACTAGCGCACCTAGGTAGTCTACTCTACGTGATAGCGCATCAGCAACCTTGTTATACTCTCCCTTCAGATACTCAAGCTTGAAGTCATATTGGTCTATGACCTCAATCGATCGCTTGAGTGCGTCAGAAAGAGCCGGTTGAGTCTTGATCCATTTGAGGGTCTGATGATCAGTCCTCAAGTAGAAGAACCTTCCCAATAGGAAGTGTCTCCAATGGACAAGTGCTTTGTATAGAGCATAAAGTTCCCTTTCGTAGGTGGACTTTGCCAACTTCTTCGATGACATCTTCTTGCTCATGTACTCAATCGGTCTCAACTTTTTTCCATCCTGTTGAGCCAAAACTGCGCCAATGCCATATTGGCTTGCGTCAGTGGTCACTATGAATGGCTTCTGAGGATCAGGAACCATGAGGACCTCATGATTCATGAGTGCATGCTTCAATCTCTTGAAAGCACCCTCGCACTCATCACTCCAGTCCCACGGCGTGTCAAGTCGAGTTAGATCAGTCAAAGGAGAGGCGACTGTAGAATAGTTCTTAACGAAGTTCCTATAGTAGCCGCACATTCCTAAGAATGATMTGACCTCASTGACYGTYTRAGGTCGTGRCCAGTCTCGAATACTAGCCACCTTCGCATCTTCCGGCCTAATCCCCTCCGCGGATACTTCATGACCCAAGTATAGTATCTTAGTGCGACCAAACTCACACTTCTCTAAGTTGACCTTATACTTGTGTTGTTGCAGGAGTGAAATTACAGTCTCAACGTGCTGTGCGTGCTCCTCGGCAGACTTACTAAAGATCAAAATGTCATCAAGGTATACCACGACAAACTTATCTAAATGGTCATGGAAGATCCGATTCATAGCGTGCTAGAATGTTCCCGGCGCGTTAAAAAGACCAAAAGGCATCACTACAAACTCATATAGACCATAACGAGTCTGAAAAGTTGTCTTGTGTTGGTCCTCAGGCCTTATAGCGATCTGATGATAGCCGGATTTCAAGTCTATCTTGCTATAGTACTTGCATCCCTGCACCCTATCCAATAGGTCGTCTATGCAAGGTAGAGGCTCTGCGTTCTTCACAGTGATGGCATTGAGGCCTCTATAGTCAATGCACATCCTCAATGTACCCCCCTTCTTAGGTACGAATAGAACAGGTGATCCGTAAGGGGAAGTACTAGGCCGAATCCATCCCTTTTCTGTCAGCACCTTGAGCTGTCGCCAAAGTTCATCTAACTCGGCGGGAGCCATCCTATAGATCCTTCCCTTTGGGGTTTTACTCCTAGGAATGATTTCTATAGCGTGGACAACTTCCCTTTCAACAACTCCTATGGGCTCTTCGAACAGATCAGGGAACTTAGCAACGACGCGTTCTATCTCTGGGGGTGTTTTAACGGCCTCCCCTTTCTCAGAGACATACACAAGGTAAATACCCTCCTCTTGGTTTTGCTTATAGTAATTGTAGAACACTGATGCATACAAGCAGCCATAGGTATCTATAATACTACTGGCCTTGAACTTAGTCAATCTAACAGTTCGGCCATCGGGCAACTTATGCTTGAGCACCTTTTTATCCCAGTCGAACTGGGGCTTATCAACTTCGAGGTAGTACATGCCTAACAACATGTCGAATGGTAAGTCGTCGCTAACCAAGAACGAAATCTTATGATTAAGTTATCCTCCTCCATAGGAGAAGGTATAAACTGCGTCCTTGATATAGTATGTTACAATCATGCGCTCCTTGTTTGCCAAAGAAGATGCTACAGGTCTACTAAGGTGCCGTACCCGGTCCTGTAGGTGCAGCCTTTCCAAACAGTCGCGACTTATGTAATTCCGCGTAGAGCCTATGTCTATGCAGACACCACATTTGCGGCCTCCTACATCGACTTCCACCACGAAATGTTCCCCTCTAGGACCTTTCCTTAGCGCCACCCAAGACTCGCGAGGGTCCTTGTTTGACCACTCACTCTCCAAGTCTTCTAAGGCATCAGACACATCTAACGTACACATCATAGTTTGGTCTAGATGAGTCTGCGGGGTGACTAAAGAGTCATTAGCTTCGGCCTTCTCGTGAAGTGGGGAGGGTATCTGGCCCACTTCACCAAGAGTAGAAGCAGCTAAAACTTCCACTGGCCTCACGTGTTTCCCGAGCTAGAAGCCTGGGAATAGGATGCCCCCATCTTTGGAGGTATCTTTTGCGTAACCTTTGCGTTCTGGCACTTGTACTGCGAGTGACCGTATTCCCCGCAGTTGATACAAGCGCCACRCACTCAGCGGTCACGCCACACGTCTTGATCAAGACCTGCCTTCACCCAATCAGCCTGCTTGGTCTGATTGGAGGCGGCCTTCCCTTGACTCCTTGGTTGGCCCTTCCCTCGGCCACCTGCCTTAGCCTTTACAACTGCGGCAAGGGTGCTACCCTCAGCGGTCTCCTCGCCGTCGTACTCTGAGTAGTCCATCAGGTCAGTGAGCTCATCGATTTCCGTTTGAGTCCCATCGGACTCAACCATCATCAACTTTGCCCCCTTCTTCTTCCACTCATGAGGACTCTTCTTCTTCTTCGTGTCATTCTGGGAGGGTTGAGCATTGCCTAGAGTGGCCTCCAAATCTAAGGCTTTCCTAGACAATGTCTCAAACGAATGGTACTCAACGCGTGCCTCACTGGCCAACAAGTTCCTGATGTTCTCTGGAAGACATCTAACGAACGTAGTTAACAGGAACTGATCACTGTAGTTGATGCCTGCAACGAGGATCAGGCTCTCAACGGTAGTCGTAAGCTCTCTAACCGACTTGAACTTTCGTTGGTCTAACTTGTTAATCGCATCAGTGGCTCTTTGTGCCTCCTGTGGATTATGCCATCGAGCTTCTACCATCTCCATGAACTGGTCTAACGTTAAAGACTTAGCCCAGTCCGCCATGCGTCGCCCGTACCCGGCTTTTACAACTACACCATCTAGCCATTTGGCTGCCTTACCCTCGAGGTAAGATGCAGTGGTAACCACTTCGTCCTCCAGCAAGGTCCTCTTGGCCTTCACCCAAACCGGGACTGTCCTCAACCAAGTGTTGAGCTCTTCGTCCTTTCTCTCGCCGGAGAAGGCAAGAGGCGGTTTCATTGGGGTCTTAGGGTACCATTGACCTGGGGGCTGTCCCTGTTGAGGAACAGGTTGTTGCGGTGGTGTAGCTCCCACCGCTGGACCCGAAGAAGAAGATGCAACAGTCTGTGCAAGTGCTGCAGACGTACCACTTGGTTGTGTACCAGCTTGAACTGGAAAAGGGTCTGACATCGCCGATAACGGCAACGACGATTATGCTGGTGGCCTGAATCCTGGCCTTGTCAATACATCCAGGATCTGGTTTAGAGTGCTCTGCATGAAGTCTAATCTGCTGTCCATGTGTGCATGCAACGACAACATATTATTCTTCAGTGTTTTCATTTGGTCATTCATTGATGACTCATCCAAGCCCTCTAACTCAGCCTTGTCCGCCTCTAAAGTATCAAGCCTGGCTGCTCTATTTTTCATCTCTCTTTCTCTATCGGTTGCTTTCTTCAGATCCCTCTCTAACTGTTCACAGAGCCTTTCGACCTATTGGATCTCTCTGAGCTCCCTCTCACGTGGGGTCAACGGGCTGAACTGCGAGCCCGCCATTTGACTAGTAGACTGTCGAGAACCCATTGAACTGGGAGTGCCCGTGGAACTTGTTGGCATTCCCAACATGGTCCCATTGGTCGCAGATGAAGACGCAACCGAGGATGCTGCTGCTGCAGAAGACATGGCTAATGCCCTGGCTGCTGCGGCAGCCTGTTCCCTAGCTGCGGTGTTTACTGTGGCCCTAGCTCCTGCTAGTGCACGGGCTCTACGTTCGGCTATAAGCCGTCTTTCTTCTCCCGGTTGTAGGGCCTGGAACACGTGCGGGACCCTAAGTGCTTCCGCACGTGTTAGTCTCCTATTGTCTGCTCTATCATCAACAGGATCTGTTCCGCTCATCAGTTAGGCAGACAGTTTCTGCATCCCCTAGTGGAATCCTACCTCAGCATGTGTCTAACTAGCACCTAATTTTCTAAAAATAGTTGTGTCCGGCAGGTCCCCTACTATACCGAAGCAAGCGGCATGTCTACAACATTCACAACAGATTGTCTACATAGTCTAGATGTACTCTGATTGGTTCACTTACAGCAGCATTAGACAGAACTGGCTATGGTAGCATACAACAGTCCTAATCTAATCTGTTTGTGAGGTGTTAGCAGTTTGCCAGCCAGTCCACTCTTATTTACCCTCGTACGGAAACGAGCCTTACACCCAGTTGATCTGGCTGATCAGGAGGAATTTATAGAGTGCCCCCATCTCTTCAGGAATTCTTTAACGTCGCAGTCAGGACGACGATCACAGTCAGAATCAATCTGAGTCCCCAACCAGAAATGCTTATAGACGGTCTGGTAAGCGTCCCATAAAAGGCTGGCACACCCTACAGGACTTCTATTTAGCGCAGCAAGTGTCATAATGGACAGCAGCCATCGCATGCGTGACCTACTCCCATTGGGTTGA